AACGATCAGGGTCGAACTTTTCCGGCTCCGGGAAGTACTGAGGATCGTGGTGGAAAGCAAAAGCTGAGATCATGACCCCAGCACCTTTACGCACCTATAAAATTGAGAAAAAACTTATAAAGTTGTTTTGTGTATATATTTATTACAATCATAATAAATTAAATGAAAAATATAATAATTGATGTTTCTTACAATAAAATCCTTTTCAGCGTTGGCGTTTGGTTTACCCAAGTTGTAATCCTTGTCACAAATTCTGTCAGTAGCTACAGCTACAGGCCAACGTCTTAATAATTCTGAAAATCATGTTATCGTATTTTACCTTAATAAGAAATAATTATAATATAATACCTTTATATTTCATTTCATTTCCCGTCATACCTGAGACAACCATGTCCATATACTTCATACTCTGAATGGAGTTGAAGTCAAACTTGCCACCATTCTTAGCATCATATTCCCTGATCTCCTTTGCCAAACGATCTTGTACGTCAGGATTCACTGCCAACTCGTATAATAAGAAACACACGCTCGAGGAAATAGATTCAAAACCAGCCACAAAGAACAGGAACGCTTGAGCCACCAGGTCATTGTCGCTCCATTCTGAAATGTTGATTTTTTTTTTTATCTTGTGTCGGCAAACAAGCTGACCTGGTGGTAAGTAATCAGCGCCGCCCATGAACGCTCGTATTAAAGAAGGACTACAAGTGCGTTGCCGGCCTCTTGTCGGTTATTAGGGATTTGAGAATTGGGGAGGGGTTTTTTTTTTTTTTTTGTGAGGGGAAAATCATCAAATGACTTCTCCCGCCCAGGGCCGGGCAGGAGGGAGTGTCAGACTCTTACTGACTAAAAACCCCCCTGTTCCTTCTCCTGCTCTGTGCCGAGGTCGCGGTACCTTATTGCGCTTACCCCGCAACCCCGGGGTCAAAAGTCCATTGGGGAGGGGTGGGAAGGAAGAATTGGGCCTCCGGTAACGTCACTGACACTGTAAAACACAAGTGTTGCTGCACGCCGTTTTTCTCTAAAGCCGGGGTATCATTTCGGTAGAAACGACCCATTCGTGCCAAAGCATGGCTCTCCCACAATTATATAAATCGTTTATGCTATTCTTATATTGTTTGCTAATAAAATAAGAATAGATAAGTCTTACCTCTATTGACGACTTTCCGTAATCCAACAGAAGATTCATCAACTGTAGCGAATCCCGTCGCATCATCATTCGGTTGGACATCATCGTGAGATAGTTTACCTGATTGACAAAATATTTATTTTGATTATTATAGTTTCTTCTTTTCATCAAATATTATTTTTGACATATGTTTTACCTTTCTTGGCTTCCATAAGCAAGTGAATCATATCAGGTCTTATAATTTTATGCATTTCTCGTTCCTTCATAGTGTCTAGCACCAAGTTTTTGAAGAAATTCTTAACTGAATCTGATATTATATCCCATTTAAACATCTGCAAGTGAATGATTATGTTGAATAATCTTCATTTTTTTAACTTAGCCAAAATTGAATAAATATTCATATTTACCTTAGCGATTTTCGGAACATTCATCATCATGAAAAACTTTAACATTTGAAAGAAATTGAAGTTGGTAACTGTCTTGCCCATCAAGTAGAATTGATTGTTCTGTTCAGTCTGTGAATCTACTTTCAGACCAAAAGCACACGAGGCTATAACATCGTTGCCGTACCGAGTCGTGAGATCCTTGCAGTCAATATCTATGTATCCCTCTGACAAGAAAATGTAAAATTTATTCAATTTAATTATTAAAATGTGTAACTGAATATAAGTCAAGCACTATGAAACATTTTTCTCCTTAGTAACCACAGGAAGAAATAAAAAACCGAAGCTGTAGTTTGGGTTTTTTAGGTAACATACAAAATTATAATTTAGAACAGAACTTTTGTTTATTAATGTTTTCATACCTTTTGAATCCTTCAGCCTCTTTTTAAGTGACTCTATCATCTGATCTCCGACCTCCACCATGAAAGGCACCATCAGACGTATTTTGGAGCTCGTGAACGCTGGACTCAACGTGGAGCGCATGTCCTTCCATTCTTGACCTTTGGAAACATTTTATAGTTGCTTATTTGTTTCCTGCCTCATTTGTGTTTAAGTTGGAATAATCCAAAATATTTCTATAAAAAATGGGCATACCTTGCAGCAAAAACAAAGTTCTTGCAAAAAACGAATCGATTCCAAAGTTGCGATGATCGACGAAGTAGTCAAAGTCCTTGACGCAAACTTTTTTCACCAGCTCCAAGTCTCTGAGCATCACTGCCTCATTTATGAATTCGAATCTACCTACGAATCTGAAAACAAAAAATCAGAATTCTCAAATTCAAGTAAGCTCAGTCTAATTGGCGGTTGGAAAATCTAGGAACTATAATAAATATATCAACAATGTTTGGTTACATTTTTTGTGTGTCTGTCATGGGTGCATGCACATTAAATCCAGACCCGAAACAACTATTTGTGGATCACACAAAGAGTTGTTCCGTGCGGGAATCGAACCCGCGACACGTTGCACGGCAGCCAGTTGCCCAGCCACCGTACCAACCGTGCAATCAAATAACTAACTTGATATTTCAAATTGTGAAATAAAAACATGTAAATAAATAAAGTTTATTTGATTATTGATAAAGATTTAATCACTATACTCAAAGGAAGTAACGAGAGAGCGATGACCTCCAATGTCGTTTCCATTTGCTACTGTTATTGTGTCTCTACTGATAAAAATTATAAACAGCCTTCTCAATCAAGGGGTCATAACACTGGATCATAATCAGTATTATCGCGAAATGCAAAATAGTGCTCAATAATATTGGCAACATGCAACCTAATTACGAGCCTCAGTCGATAATTTTAAAAAGCGACGTATTCTGTAAATTTAGGTGTATTATGTTCGTCTTTATCTACTCACTTTTCGTCCGGGAAGGCATTGTATAAATCAAGAAGACTGTATGCCAAATGCTGTTTTCGAAGAAGGACTGAGCCCATATTGCCCAGCAGAGGAATGGGCTTGAAGTGCTTGATGCCATGCTTGCTGAATGTTGAGTAGAGCTGACGTAGATACAGTACCACTACAGCAATTAGTACTGTCACCCAAATCAGCAGTATTATCATTGTCTGAAAGTTAAAGGTATTCTTATAAACAGGTATTAACGCTCTTTAGTATGATGTTTACAACAAAGAAAGTAAATTCGATTAAAAAAATATAAAAGTATTTTATGTTTTTAAAATCTTGAATGTTGCTAAAAGAGTCTCTAGAACCGTAGCAGTATTAAATGTGTCAACTGCGTCAGTCCAATCATCTAATTTGAATCGTACAGAGATCAGTTAATGAACTTGTTCATCTGTGATCTCAGTCAAGGTCAACAAGTGTGTTGATGTCGCAGTAGCGGCACTATCTTACGTTTTATCTGATAATACATATACGCTTGATAATAAAGTACTCACTATAACTGTTAACATATAAGTAATTTTACTGAACAAGGGAACTTTTCAATTGTCTTTATGACGTATAGTCTCACAGTTTTTATAGTACCTACATGCACTTAAATTAAACCTCAGTTGCATCTAACAATTTATGCAATTTATTTAACAACGAACGCTAGCTAAATCTTATCAGTCCTGTTTGCTTTTGATGTCGTCTTTTTACTATTGTAACTTTGACTTTCAAATCTAAATTGAAGAAATATCCTTATAAAATAAGGATTTTAATCAACGTGATTTAAAGGAAATTGTTTCAAATCAGGTGTGATCTAAGGAAATAAAAAGTCAGTATAAGCTACAAACTAATAAAATAATAAGCCTTAATAATATGGTAACTGAAATATGTTAAGTAACTTATAATTGTCTTACGTAAACAAATGTGAATTCCGTAAAAACACACAAAATAAAAAAAAACACGAGCGTGTGACTATGTCGACAGACAGGTTCACTATGAATGACAAGAAACCGTGATGCATATACAAACATGTTTTGTTGATTGTACATAATATCTGTGTGATTGTTATGTCCTTTTGTACTGTTCAGAGATACTGCTAGTATATTTTATAAAGGCGCTCTATAAGGTGCTACGCTTGGTCCCATAAATTGCGTGTAGGATGTGTAACGTAATGTAGATTTATTTCCCTCAAAATATGTTTAAAATATGAATGCACAATATTTAAAAATATGCCTCTATTTAAAGAATGTATAGGCAATCATGATAATTTTATTTTCGTCATTGAAAAGTTATAAGTAAAAGTTAGGTATAAAAAATTCCAAAGGTATTGAAATAAGTTGTTATAGACTGCCTAATTACAATACTTGTCCGACTAGTAACAACCATTGTTATGTCAACCAATGACATTATATTTCTTGTAAACAATGAGAGGTCACAATTTATTGGATTAATTGACCCCACTATTCAACCGACCGTCGCTGTCGGTATTTTTTAGTAAATACAATAATTAAGAGATTGAGAGTTGGGAACGTTCCTACATGAACTATTCCCTTAAATGTACTTTAAACAATAGAAATTTGCAAACAACGTAATTATAATTTTAAGATTAGTCTTTATAGGCTGTCGAAGCCTATTTCTATTGTCAAGGGTTTCCCAAACGATTGTTTGTATATTTGACAAAGGGGGAAAAAGCTATTCTTTTCTTGTGACGAAAAATAAGCATGCGGGTTACCGAATGGTAAGCTATCGGCGGCGCCACGCTGGCCACCTGCAACGCCTGAGGTTAAAAATTAGTTTAGGTTATGAGTGAAATGCTGGTAGGGGAAGGATTTGGTCTCTGGTTTTCTTATTTGAAACACAATGCTGTAGGTGTTTTCTATGAAGCAGTGGTATCATTCCGGTTGAATCGATCAATTCGGGATGAAGCTTGCATCTTCCACACTTAAAATACCAATTTTAAATAAACGACGAGTATTTTAAAACATTAATTCTTTATTACAACATTATTACCAAATTATTGTTATCGTTTTATTAAAACATAAATACTCTCCATAAGATACTTATTACTTTCTTCTTCGCCAAAGCAAAGGCTTTATTTTCTTTGTCTAAATCTAAGCCAGTGTCCTCCTTGCAACCTGACGTTTATATTATCTGGAGCCAACCTGGCAGGAATTTGAGTTTTTTCACTAGGAGACAGCTCCATATGTAGCAATATCTGGTAGGTTAGCACCTTCAATTCACAGAGAGCAAACCGTGAACCTGTCAACAAAAAAAATCTTTGATTAGTCACCAGACTAGGCACAAAAATTATAAATGAAATATTTGAAACATATGAAAGTTACCTATGCAGTTTCTTGGCCCGACACCAAATGGCATGTATGCGTTAAGATTAAGCTTGTGACGATTTTCTTCAGAGAAACGCTCTGGGTCAAACTTTTCAGGATCTGGGAAGTACTGAGGGTCGCGGTGGAAGGCGAAGGTTGGTATAAATACTGTAGTTCCTTTGGGTAACTGTATAAAAAGCAGAAAAAATATCAATTAACGGATTCTGGAGTAATTTCAAAAGTTTTCATTATATATGAAACTTACAATGTAATCTTTATCAAAATCTTCATTTGGTTTGCCCATATTGTAATCTCTGTTGCACTCTCTATCCATAACTGTGAGTGGTGGCCATAATCGGAGAAGCTCTAGAAATGAAATATATTTATTTACATTATTAAATCTTAAACAATTGTTTGGATGAGTGATTTAAAATAAACGATATTATACCTGAGACAACCATGTCCATATACTTCATGTTCTGAATAGAATTGAAGTCAAATTTGCCACCGTGCTTCACGTCATGTTCTTTTATCTCCTGTGCTAAGCGCTCTTGCACATCAGGATTTACTGCCAACTCGTACAATAAGAAAGACATACTGGTCGATACAGTTTCAAAACCAGCAATGAAGAACAAGAATGCTTGAGCACTCAGATCATTGTCATTCCAAACTGTAAATATAAACATGAATATTATGAGCTTACACATAATATGTGCAACATCAATCATATTCTTCTACATAACTATAAATAGGTTTCTAACTTTACCTCGATTTGTAGTCTTTTTTAATCCTACCGTTGACTCCTCGACAGTCGCAAATCCAGTAGTATCATTATTTGATTTAGCATCTTCATGAGTCAATTGACCTAAAATTTTATGCAAATTAATGTCTAGGAAGCCTGAATTAATAACACCATATCGATTCACTTTGTGTTTGTATTGTTATCAACTAAATAGCTACCTTATACCGTGTATAATAGCTACCTTTTTTAGCTTCCATAAGCAGATGAATCATGTCTGGTCTAAAAATGTGACGCAATTCCCGGTCCTTCATTGTGTCTAAGACCAAGTTAGTGAAATAGTTCTTCATTTTATCTGGTACCAAATTCCATTTAAGCAACTAAAAAAAAGAAAATATATTGTTTGAGTTTGTAATAGTAACGAACTAAATTGTTATATTTATAATCTGAATAATGAATGCTTACCGCTACAATTTTTGGAGCAATGACCATGAAAATAAACATAAACATTTCACGCAATCCAAAGTTTGCTGCTGTCCTACCCATTATGTAGAATTCGTTATTTTTCTCAGCATGAGAATTAACTTTCAGACCAAAAGCGCAAGAAGCTATCACATCATTCGCGTAGCGAGTTGTAAGATCCTTGCAATCGACATCTATGTACCCATCTAATAAAAAAGGATGTTTAAAATAGTAAAGTGGTAATTAGAATATTATGATTAACTATATTGTCTATGATGTTGTATTCACCAGAAGATTTTTCAATTTCCTTGTTAAGTGACTGTATCATCTGATCTCCGACCTCCACCATGAAAGGCACCATCAGACGTATTTTGGAGCTCGTGAACGCTGGACTTAACGTGGAGCGCATGTCCTTCCATTCTTGACCTTGAAGAATATCAAATTATGTCAGACTTGACCTTACGTAAATGTTATTATACAATATATCTTTTAATAGCTACTCTAGCGCGGTTTCACCCGCAGCTGGGCTCGTATCGTAATCGTAGCGTGATGTTTTATAGCCTATAGCACTCAGGAACATTGTAGCTTTCAATCAGTGAATTTTGGGATTCTGACAAGCGGTTCCAATGATTACCTCCTACATACAAACTTACAAATTTTACCTCTTTATAATATTAGTATAGATATAGATAACTTTTCATTGCGATTGGTACCTCTCATCAAAATTAAGGTTCTGCCAAAAAACGTGTCTCCGCCGAAATCTCGATGATCGAGGAACACCTCAAAGTCTTTTACAGTAATTTTCTTTACTAGGTCGAGGTCACGAAGCATTATTGCCTTATTCGTAAATTCATATCTTCCAACAAACCTGTAAAAATAAAATGTACGGTTAACACAATGTATCACAAGTCTTCCATTTATGATGCAATGTTTTTCTTAAAATGTAATTTTATTTATAAAAGACTACTTGCTATCACTTAATTAATATGAGCACAGGTTCCAAACTGGACTATAAAATCTAAAAGAATCAAGGTTTAAAAACAGTTTTTATTCGTCCAGTTTACTCCATTTTATTCACACCATATCATCAGCCTATAAGTACCCACCGCAGAAAAAAGACCTTTTCCTATAGGGAGAAAGCTTCAGCATTAATCACCACACTGCTCAAGGCAGATTGGAGATTTTAATCTAATCAATTCCAGATCAAAAATAGAAATCAAAGGCAGAAATTGTGCGTCTAAGTGCGCCCGATACTATACAAAAAGCTGCGTTTAAGAATAAATAATTATCTTATCTATACGACGACCGTAATATCTAACATTTTTGAAGACTGAGATTATCTGTATCCGTAATGGGCATTATTGTATTGTGGTATATTTATAGATCGAGAGATAAATTTAAGTTAAGTAATGATAAGGAATATTGCAATTTCTGATACGACAATGGTTTTCGTTCTAAGACCCCTCAGAAGTGTAAAATTGCTAGTACCTGTCTTTTGGAAAGCTCCCGTACAAACGAAGAACATCATAGGCGAAGTGCTCTCGTAGAAATATGGTGTTTATCATGTTCCCCAACAGTGGCGCGGGGTTCAAGTACTTGATGCCATGTTTACTGAATGCAGAGTGCATCTGCCGAAGATGCAACGCAAGGGCCGCAATTAGCACCACCAACCAAATGAAAAAGATAATCATTGTCTGGAACAAAAATTGTGAAAATTTGCTATAACTATAAATCCTCATTGATGCGTATAGCTCTGAAAACATGACTATAATATTTGCAGGTTCCAGGTGTAGTCGATGACGGTGAAGTCCTATCCACTTGTTTTTCTATCTTTAATATTGTTTACGTCTCAGACAAAGATAACGATGGATTTTCTTGCTCGTTCTTCTCCAATCGAAACCTACAATTTGGAACGAGCACCTCGCTTCACTGACGAACAGACTGACAGACTACTATTCTATTTTGACGTTTCAAAAGTACCTATTTTTATGGTTTAGTTAGAATAAATGGTTTTGATTTGATTTGAAAGCTTGACCACTATATAATTAAAATACAATTAGATAATTATCCAATGTAAGGCAACAACACGTTATCAGACAATTTTTAAATATTTTGTACAAATCACTTTGTTTTGTTTTTAATTTCGTAATCATAACAAAACATGTGTTGCTTATATGCAGTGCGATTGTGTTATCAATTTGGCATGTTATTTAGTAAACATAAATTCTTTTTGTTTAAATTTTTTGCCAGTTCTTTTGACGTGTTGTTAAGCATGTCAACTTTTTTTGTATTAATTGTAATTAGATATTACTGAACACAAGGACATGACATTAAAGACACACGGTACGTACTATTCGTATAAAATTACCTTCCTGATATGCAACTTCAACTTGATATTCAAATCATGATTTTTTAACGTGTTAAATATCCTCAATTGATGTACTAATGTATGATGTACGTAAATACCAAACTAAGTAACAAAAATTACATAAAAAAAGATTCTTTAAAACATGTTTGTATCCGTAATATAATGCACGCTCGTCTAATTTATACAGATCTGACTTTTGTGTGAGTTAGATATAAACACAAAAATATTAAAAACACATAAAAAAATAAGATAATGACGTCACAAAGGTAAAAAATGTGATGAAAATGATGATAAATTAAGAAAATGATATAAAAATTTAACTTACATTAAATAATGATCGCTGGTTCGTGCACAAATATGAGCTGGATGACAACAAAACGTTATTAACGCACGTGTTGCTCAATACTCTGACCAACTCCGTATGGTAACTAAACAGACTGGACACTGTATGTATGTATGTATGTACATATGTATGTATATGCATGAGTATATAAACATTACTCACAGATTAGATTAGATCCTTGTTTAGGGTGTATTACTCAAGTGTCTTAACAGCTTTATCTTTGATATCAACTCTTACGAGGAGTGCCTCAAGGGACTATTTTTGGACCCGGATTTGCCAAGTAATCATTATAAGGTGATGTTTTGCGTATTAAGATTTAGAGATTACAATTTCTTACGATTTTGAATAGATAGGATTTTAAGATTTGACTGAATAGGTAAATAATAATTATGATAGGTACACATTAAGTTATTAAGTTTGAATTTGATTACAACTCCTCGCATTTTTTTTGTTGCTCATACATTCTACAAATATTTTTCAAGTACCTTCTTTAATTAACTACTGTTTACATTTATCAACTAATATTTTTTATCGTTGATTGACATATAAAAGATATGTTGATTTACTTAATAAAAAAATAATTAAAAGTTAAAATTAGAACAGTCAGAAATATGAGATATTTTTTTAAATACGTGGATGTTGTTATAATTACGTTATCCGAAACACCTTAATATATCACAGACTAAAACAATGCTTGCATTACATTTCGCCGTGTGCTTAAAGTTACCGGAGGACCGATCCTTCCTCTTCTTCATCCTCGATTCCCCAATAATCAAATCCCTAAAAACCAACAAGGCTGGCAAAACACTTGTATGTTTCTATATTTATATTCTTATGTATGTTTATATGTCTATGGGTGATGCTTTCTATCAGATGGTCACACTCGTTTTTCTCGCTTGCAGTTTGCCGTCCCAAAGATACTCGTAGAAATACCAGGAGATTATGTATTTCCAAAAATATGACAACAATTACAAGTAATTCGGGGATTCAATAATAAACAAGTAAATGTGAAAATAGAAAGAGAAATTAAAAAAAATCTCTGCCACGTTACAATTGCGATTCCCAAGTCAGTTAAGTTAGGACTGGTTATTTTTTCGTCTTTTTAGATGTTTTTCAGTGGCGGTATCGTGGAGTCTGCAAATGTACCCGGTATATGTCAAGAACTTCATCTCTCGCTACACGGAACTCATTCCAATACGTAGTAAAAAGTGGGTCTACATTGTGCCTATGTCCGCATCTGCGTAAACCCTTGGTGAGAAAAGAGGTAAAGAAGTGAAAAAAAATGGCAATAAAAGTACTTATTTCTGTTTTAAATATATTTTACTTAAAATCTTTCATTTGACTTATGTTACAATTACGCAAATACTTAACTATCGCCATGAGACGCCATATGTACATCATAGAATAATTATGGTTGAGCACATTGTTGAGAACTTTACAGTGAAAGATCTTAAGAATAACATTTTTTATGTGTGTAATAACATAAATGCCTTGTTTATCACTTTCTAGGTCTAACTCTAAGCCAGTGTCCTCCATGAAGTCTGATGTTTAAGTTGTCAACAGCAAGTTTGGCAGGGATGCAGGTCTTCTCACATGGGGACAGTTCCATGTGGCGTAAGAGCTGGTATGCCATCACCTTCAACTCACAGAGAGCAAATCTTGAACCTGTAATCATAATGAATTAATTATTCATTATGAATGTGTGAATGAATGAACGTCGTGGTGGACTGAAGGTTAAGGCATCCGCTTCACGAGGGTGCGGTGTCGTAACCTAGCAAGCAGCAATGTAACTTTTTCTGAGTAGGTAGGTAATGACAAACGACGAAAGAAATTATCGTGAGGTAACATGCATTTATAATTTCTAATAAGTTTGAAATCTTTATCTGCCTTGATCAAGCGTGGCATAGATGATGATGATGATGATGGTGTGCGAATGAATAAATTACAGTTTGTAAGTTATCTTTTTTAGGGACACAATAATTAAATTAAGTCTCCCGGCCTAGGTGGGCAAGAGATAGTGCCAGTCCCTTATGTTTAATTTGATCGTAACAGTACTAAAGAGTAGACTTTTCTTTAAGCTAAAGTCATTTTCATCGTAGTCAGCATAAAATACCGTTATTTACCTAAACAATTCCTAGGACCAATTCCGAAGGGGATGTAGGCATTCATATTAATCTTGTGTCGGTTTTCTTCAGAGAAGCGCTCAGGGTCGAACTTTTCAGGTTGTGGGAAGTACTGAGGATCGTTGTGGATGGCGACAGTTGGAATCATGACGCTAGTACCTCTGCGAATCTAGAAACCAATTGTATTACTTAGTTGTACTAACAACACATATGTTGGACCTTATCGGTTCATAAAATTATAACTTACAATGAAATCTTGTTTAGAACCCTTATTTGGTTTGCCCATATTGTAATCTTTTATACATTCTCTGTCAGCAGCAATAGCTGGTGGCCATCGTCTTAAAACTTCTACAAAGAAATAAAACTGAATTTAAAAAAAAACTCACAATTAAATTATCACCAAGGCCTACAACAGCCGGAAAATAGATGGGTATTAGGAAACAATTAATATTGTTATTACCTGACACAACCATGTCCAGATAGCTCATGCTCTGAATGGAGTTGAAGTCGAACTTGCCACCATTCTTAGCATCATTTTCCTTGATCTCCTGTACCAAACGATTCTGTACATCAGGGTTTACTGCCAACTCATACATCATAAAAGACATAGCAGTTGAAATAGTTTCAAAGCCAGCGATGAAGAAAATGAATGCTTGAGAAATTAGGTCGATGTCACTCCAATCTGAAATAAAAACATCATGGTCACTAAAAACAGTCAAGACTGCTTAAAAAGTTATTGTTTTGTAAAATTAGGTAATTTTCACTTCTGTTACCTCGATTTACTACTTTTTTTAATCCGATTGAAGATTCTTCGACAGTAGCAAAACCAGTAGAATTATCATTGGGTTTATCGTCATGTGATAATTTTCCTAAAACAAAACATTTACATTATTTATATATTTTGTTAAGATATATTTTGGTTAGGATGTAACTAAGAGTACCTTTTTTAGCTTCCATTAGTAAGTGGATCATATCTGGTCTGATGATATTTCGTTGCTGTCGATCCTTCATCGTGTCCAGCACCAAATCTGTGAAAAATGTCCTCACCGCAGCTGGTACAATATCCCAATTAAGCATCTGTAATATAAATACTTAACATTTATTATTGTACAATATAATTTTTTTCATATCGTTGTTTGCGAACCTCACGCCGGACTTACCTTGGCAACTTTTGGTGCATTCAACAAAACGAAGAACATAATCATTCTAACGAAATTGAAATCAAATAGAGTCTTGCCCATATTGTAGAATTGGTTATTCGGCTCAGCCTGAGAATCTACTTTAAGACCATACGCACATGATGCTATCACGTCATTAGCGTACCGTGTTGTGAGGTCCTTAAAATCAATGTCTACATAATCATCTGGTGACAAAGAAATTTAACTTTAGAATTACATTTTTAGGCTTGTTTATTATACACAATATATATTCTGTGAGTCGATATAAACCTTTTGCATCCTCCAATTTCTTGTTTAGTGAATGTATCATCTGGTCTCCAACCTCCATCATGAAAGGTACCATTAATCGTATCTTAGAGCTTGTAAAGGCTGGACTCAACGTAGAGCGCATATCTTTCCATTCTTGCCCTGTAAGAGGTGAAAGGCTTTTCTTTAATAATAATAATATTTAGATTTTTTTTTGTGTTAGGCCATGGTAGACTTTTGTACCTTTCATAAGAAACAAAGTCTTTTTGAAGAAAGATTCGCCATCAAAGCTGCGGTGATCGGTGAAATGCTCGAAGTCTTTGATAGCGACCTTCTTGATCAGTTCAATATCACGAACTAAAATAAACTTTGTGATGAATTCAAATCTGCCCACAAACCTGAGGAACAAAGAAAAGACATCAATTACAGCTGTGATAAAACATACTTACAGTTTATTTTTATTTTTTGTGCAGATTAATTTGATTAAATCTTTTTGCCAAAAAAATGTTGTGTCATTTGACACGCAAAGTCTCGCCATAACAATACTAATTTACATCCGCCTTATGTATTATTTGTCTGATACACTCGTATTATGTAGTATATACTATCAGCGATAAACACATTAAGTAGGAGCTAGATAAGTGGTATAGGTAAACTGAAGTCATTGTTTACAAAAACTACATGATAGAGACATGTGCTATCACGCTTAGGGAGGTCAATATTTTGCTTATAAAAAATGAAGCCATACAAATGTGATTATTGCCAAGGTCAAAATATAAGCACAATTATATTAAAAACAATAAACAAGAGAACCTTTTTCTGAAGGGAGTGTACCCTTCTTGAGTATTAACTATATTCCAGAAGTATCACTGGTCATTCCATTTTGTACTGTCAAAAATGTAAACTTACTTTTCTTCAGGAAAACTGTTATAATACTTCTGTAGATTGTACACATAGTGTTCACGACGTAACATGACTGAGGTCATGTTGCCCAGCAGTGGGACAGGTGTGTGGAACTTAATACCATCCTTGTATAACGAGTAGAACTGTCTGATGTAGAGAACCAACAGCACCACTACCACAACCGCACAGAGAATCCATATTATCATTTTCTGAAAGAAAATAGTTGGAGTTTTCAACTAACGTTAAAAATTGCAATCTAAAAAATCGTTCTTATTATGAGGAAAAATTGACAGTTAAATAAGCATAACATTTAAATATAGGTAACTTATGGATCCGTAAAAGAATGACTTCTTTTATTTAAAATCATTTAAAATATTTAATTATTTTGTTAGGTGTTAAATCTTAGAGGCTGCACATCAATATTTACCAAAAATCACAAAAATATTTGAGAAACCTCCTAGTCAATGCGTAAATTTTAGAACTATACACGACTGCCGATTATTTAATATCGCGTCCACCAATTGGCGTTCATTAGATAACTGTTATTCGGCGCTATTTTGGCGCACAAGGCCAAGGTCAACAAACATGTTTGAATGTGATGACACCAACATTATCTATGTCTGCGTGGCACCATCATTCATAGTTTACAAACAATATTTAGATACCCTAGTCTTGTAGGCTTGACGTTTCGACCTGGTTGCACAGGTGGTCACAAGCAAACTAACCGTTTTAAAGTTAATATTTAGGTATCGGAGAGCCATGCTTCGGTATGAATGGGTCGGCTTGACTGGAGTGATAGCACGGCCTCACAAAAAAGTGGCGTGAAACAACAGTGACCAACAATAAATTTTTAACTTAATCTTTTAAATTCAATGTATGGGAATAACTGCAGGTACCAATTTAAATAAAAAAGTCAGTGTCAGATGCATATTCCCTGCATCCATACCTGAGCAGCTTGGGTTTTTAAATTAAATTATAAGTACACAAAAATCTGAAATAACTATCATATTATATTAAATTATTACAATTTGGTTATATCACAGCTCACTCATTACTGGAGTTCGGTCATGTTATGGTTCCCGTCTTACAACGATAACAATATATTTACTGGCAGTGTTATTTTATACGTACTTCAGAGCCTCTATTTACAAACAATACAAATTCATTATGATAACTTATCTGCTTTATATAATAAACATTAAAAAAACGTAGGTATAGAAAAAATATATATATACCAAAAACAGCAAACAGCAAAGCGGTCGTGTGTAAACAAAACAACTTCAGACACAACACTCCCTAGGCGGTGTTCACAGCAAACTGAATATACGTATAGATATACTAAAAATGTAGCATTATATATATTATACAATGTTTCTCGACGGACTAATCTAATCTAAAAATGCTTCGTTAGCTAAATTTTTACATCATTTCATCATCCTAAAAAAAACTATCGATATCAATATTATAGACCCTCAATTGTGAAATGGCTTCAAGGTCAATAGATGTTGTCCTTATATAACATTTATACAATGTTTTTTGTGAGCCATGTTTCAGCATGAATAAACCGGCTCGACCGGAGTTACACCACGGCCTTACAGAAAACTGACGTGAAACAAAACTTGAGTTGTATTTCACCGTATGAGTGAGGGTGATTTTTCTCTCCTATATTCAATCTTCAAACCTCCCAATTCTTAAATATCCGCCCTGCCATTGCTTACCGCCATGTAATTTAGCTGCTCGTTCGCCTGATTATCAAACAAAAGAGTGACTTTTGCGGTTTTCCAAATGTGCAAACCGTTATCATTTAAATATGTCAATTTTTTTTTGTTTTTTGGATTGGTCCTAAAAATTATAATAGAAGCATGATTATTTTATTGGTGTCAGTAAGCAGTTTATTGAAGCGATTTCCTAAAAATGTATTCTAGTCCTTTCAATTTTCGGATTCTATACAGGATACAGTTCACACTATTAAAATTATAATCAAACAGCTAAGATTACATACTCATATTTTTTTTAGTAGGATTAAGCGAGATTGCTAAAATATACGAACTTTAAAAAAGTATTATTCAGTTTTGTTTGTTTGATTCATAATCAAATCAAACAAAGTTTGTAATAGTGTTAAGTACACAAAGATCTTGAAGAGTAAAGTTAAAAAAAACAGTTAATAGTATGAATTTATTTATTTTTATATGTACTAAACAAAATGTATTTGAAATAACAAAATAGTCTTACATAATATTCACCAAATCCTGATATCAACTGATTAAACAATGTAATTCATGAAAATAATAATTTTATCAAGGGGTTTCATGATTTATCGAACTTACATGTTGTTTTATTCAATTACAGAGTTATTTATTGTCTTATTAATATTGTCTACTAGTGCCTAGTTATATAATTTCTTTCATAGCAGGATAATTTGAAGCGGTCTTCAAACAGTTATTTATGGTACTTAGAAAACAATTAGGTAGTAGAAAACGTTCAAATCAACTTGTATAATAATCAATTACGTTAAGAGTAAGCAATGAATCTCCATAGTTTTTATCATGGTTAGCATCCATATCATCTAAGTCCTTGCCCTGAACTTCAGCCAATGCCCTCCTTGCAGTTTCAAGTTGACAGTGTCCTTGGATAGCCTTGCTGGTATGCAGGTCTTTTCACAAGGAGAAACTACCATTTCTCGGAGGATCTGGTATGCAATTACTTTTATCTCACAAAGCGCAAATCTTGATCCTGCAAAAAAATATATTGTTATGAGGTGTGATAGTTAAATTCACTCATGGAGTTAGTCTGGGCTGGTTTTTTCCTTTTACGGTGTCAGGACTACAATACCCGGTGTCTTCACGGTGCCAAGTGTCTTCTCGAGGAAAGCGAGTTGGAATAGAAAAAAAAAAGAAAAAAGAAAAAGAAAAGAAAATACATTTATTCGGCATCAGACATGAAAGCCAGAAAAAAAAACAAAAATACAACACAAAAAACAATAAAAAGGTTAAAAAGACAAAAAAACAAAAATACGCTAAATATGCAGTTTTGGCAGACAGCAGAACACACAGTGTTGACAGTGTTCTACAGGGTTGGCAGACATGTCTAAACCGAACGGGTCGCCAACTCAGCAAAAAGCTGGGCACACTGAGCACCCAACACTGATTTTCAGTTGGCACCCCTGCAGTGACGCACGGACGAAAGCAACGCATAACGAGTACGTTCAGATTATAATATAAGAAAGAAATTAAATTAAATATAAATTATAAGAGCAAAGATCAAGTTCAAATGAAGAAAAGATACATGAAAAAATAATACCAGAATATATCAAAAACAAACTAGGAAAAAAAAAACATTTTGTAATATGAGGATATTATAATTGAAATGTACCGTGGGGTATTTGCAATATAAAAACACCATGAAATCGCAGTAGTAAACTCAGAAGTTGTGGGTAATCAGGGTGTCGCGTCGGTTACATACTGCTGCGCGGTTCAGCGCTCATTTGTCCGTGGATCCGTATACCCACGTCGCGATGTTATTGTGTGATTGAAAAATCGAGCCGTGACGCGGTGAGTCTTTAATTTATTAAATATATATAATTACATAATAATATAAAATTGAGTAGACAGATTATTTATAGATAATATAAAATGTAAAAAATGTAAAATGTGTGACTGAATATGTTTTAATTAGAAAATTAGTGATTGTTATAATCGGTAAAAAACAAAACAAAATAGTTAAACAATAAAATTAAATAAAAGACAGGTCAATATTTATTTCGGCGCTATTTATTTGGTTAGTAAGCACAAACTCTTTGAGCTTTCTTCTAAAAGTACTCAAACTTTCTCTTCTATTATTGTTCTTTCATAACAATTTTTGACAATTCTAACATTTTTATTTATCAATATGCATTTATTAATATATTTTATATATATTTATATATATTTATTATATATTTATTAATATATATATTATCAATATCAAACATTCTCCAAATTAAAAGCGGCCTTTACTCAGTGGCAGGAACTTATGAGTGAATGTTGTGATTGTAAACTTACCAATGCAATTTCTGGGTCCAACACCGAAGGGCATATACGTAAATGGATGAAGAGTGTGCTTGTTTTCATCTGAGAACCGCTCAGGGTCGAATTTGAGTGGGTTAGGGAAGTACTTAGGGTCACGATGAATGGCAAGAACTGGTATCAAGAGTCCACTTCCTTGGCGGATCTGTAACATAAAAATGATACTCTTTTGTCGATTTCCAGTCTTCCGTCAGTCAGTCAGTCCGATAGTTTCATTTATTTTGAAATTTGGATTGGAGACCGCGCTTGTTTGAACTTTTCTGTTTTGTAACTGAATTTATAGTTGTATTCAATAAACTTAACTTACAATATAATCTTTCTCCGCTTTCGGGTTCGGTTTACCCATGTTGTAATCTTTAGTGCACATTCTGTCTAAATTTATAGCAGGTGGCCACAGTCGAAGGCTTTCTAAAAAATAAAATATTTACCATATTTACATATATAACAAAAATGGCTGCATATTTTCTGATAGCTATTTATATCACCAATAACGAAGCAAGTTTAGTTTACTTTTCACAGTTCATGAATAGCCTCACCTGATACCACCATATCCATATAGACCATGTTCTGAATGGAGTTAAAGTCGAACTTGCCGCCGTTCTTGGCGTCATTTTCCTTGATTTCCTGCGCCAACCGCTCCTGAACGTCAGGATTCATGGCAAGCTCATGTAGTAGGAACGACATTCCTGACGAGACGGCCTCAAATCCAGCAATGAAGAATACCACCGCTTGAGCAACGAGATCGTCATCAGTCCATACTAATAATAAACAATAAAATTTTTATTTAGAGAACCAAAATATCTTTGGTGAGAACTAAAATATCTTCGCTTTCTCATTATATCTATACTTAACGAATACCATAAGGTTCAAATGCATAGTGACAAATAATTTATTGCAAAAATTAGTATGAACATATTTATTTTCTTCAACTTCTGCTTTCTTTTCCATAGTAACATCTACATATCTATCAATCTACCTATTTCATGCTCACAACATTTTGTTTTGGTTAGTACTAAAGAAAAATTAAAATATGTACTGGAAAACAACTATAGAACAAATGACGAATTTAGCAATAAATTTTAAAAAATATAATCGAAAATAATTTACCGGAATACCAATTTTATTGGTAAAAAAATCTATACTTAATATTATAAAGGGGTAAAATTGTAAGTTTGTATGTAGGGGGTGGTAATCTTTGGAACCACTGGTCGGTTTCCCAAAATTCTTTCACTTATTGATAGCTACAATGTTCCCGAGTGCGATAACTTTAAAACATCACGCTACAATCAAATGGAGCCGAGCAGCGAGTGAAACCACACAGGAGTAGCTAGTACTTATTATATTTGCAAAAAATATAAAATATACAACTGAATCGACTATGGAAAATTTCAAGACCGTTTTCTACAAAATAGGGTCTTATTTCTTAGATATATTTTTTTTTTCGAAAGCCCGTTGCCTCAATTTTATCTTGTTATAATAGATTAAAAACAGTGATTAAATATAAATTACCTCTATTATTATCTTTTTTTCCTATAGCTGATTCGGTTACTGTAGCAAATCCTGCAGCCCGGTCATTGGATTTAATATCGTCATGACTTAATTTGCCTAAAATGAAAATTTTGTTAGATAAATTATATTTTATATCAATCTTCCCTTTTCTTGTGTATTTGATATTATTGTTTACGTACCTTTCTTGGCTTCCATTAACAAGTGAATCATGTCGGGTCTGAAAATGTTCTTTAACTCCCGGTTGTCCATTGTACCCAGTACCAGGGTCTTAAATGCCGACGATGATGACTCCGAGAGGAAATCCATCTTTATAAACTGTAATACAAAGCAAAAATAGATTTGCAGTACGTGATATAACTATTTACAATTGAAATATCATCTACGTAACGAAAGCCTTAAGTTTAATTGTGAAACAGAATTTTTCAACATGGCATTTGAATTTTGGACTTGACTCGTAAATTGCTATTCATAGTTTCAAACACATTTTCATTGAACTGATATCACACATTGTAGATGCTGCTCAAGGACGAAAAATAAGTGCCATTAATACGAAAAAAGAACTGTTTAAAGAGACAGCACTTGTCGAAACTTAAGCAACGGAAATCTTGTGGTAGTCAAATTTAAGACTAAAATTAATAAAAATATGCATAAAATCAAACATTCCTCAGTAGATAATATATCCAAACAATGAAATAGATTTATACTTGCAAGTACCTTAGCTAGTGTTGGTGCACTAGCGAGGAAGAATGTCTTGAGTATTTGGGAAAAATTTATCGTAGTAGTCTCCTTCCCCAGACGGTAGAAGCTATTATTCTTGTCATTGTGCGAATCCACCTTCAGACCAAAAGCACAGGAGGCGATCACATCGTTGGCGTAGCGGGTAGTGAGGTCTTTGCATTCCACGTCTATGGAACCATCTAAAAACATAAGATTGACATGGTGTAACATGAAATTGTTCGAACAAGATTTGTACTTAAAAGGTAATTTAAGTACAAGTTGGTAATAATGATGGTGATGCCATGAGATTTTGAGAGGTAGATTGACAATGAAAGATATCTGTTAATCTGCCAGTTATAACATGGTGGTTTTTGAAAACCGTTACTTCCCAAGAACCAAATAAATACTTTTACCATACGAAACTAGCCGGACCTAATATGTATTAGGATATACTGCTCATATAGAACATTCAATTTTATTCTTATAGTCTTGATCATTGATGATGATTACCAAAAAACTTACCTTTTGATTCTTTTATAATTTTATGAAGCGAACGCATCATTTGATCTCCTACTTCCACCATGAAAGGCACCATTAGGCGCATCTTGGAGCTTGTGAAAGCTGGACTCAACGTAGAACGCATATCCTTCCATTCTTGACCTGTAATTATGTTAGAAGTATTGATGCTGCATATAGTATTATTTTGTGCCCAAAAAGACGGATTTAACTCGGCTTAGGCTTACTTGGGCAAAAGAAAGTCAAACGAAGGTGGCATTTCTGTGTGATTAAAACGTTGAGGTTTGTATATCGACTTTGAAACGGAATGATTGTTTTAATTACCTCTTAAAGAGAGCAGGTTCCTGGAGAAGTAGGATTCGCTGTTGTTTAAGAGGGAGCGATGGTCGAGGAAGTGCTCGAAGTCTTTCACAGTGATCTTTTTAATGAGCTCGAGGTCACGAATCACAATTATCTCCTTTAAGAATTCGTATCTACCTACGAACCTGATGAAAAAAATACGTGGACGAATTAATGATGTGTCATATAAAAGTACTAATGAAATAAATTCATTTATAATCTGTACAAGTAGCGTTTAATTCTCTATTTTATCCTAATAACTATAATGATATCAATCATATGGAAACTGCAACTGAACCATCGTAGTGATATTAATCTTTATTCTCATCATCAACCGGACGACGAAACCAAGAACTGACAACACGCCACTTGCTCCTTAAACGACGGCGACAATTCATTAGGGTATTTAAATTATGGTGTTAAACAGCTTACCTATCCTCAGGAAATTCGTTGTAGACCTTTGAGAGTCCATCACTCACATGCTCTGCGCGTACGACAACCTTAGTCATGTTGCCGAATATTGGGACTGGCTTTATGTGTTTCACGCCATGGCGGCTGAACGAGGAGTATAGTCTCCAGAAGTACAGCGTAATCACGGCGACAAAGACCGCCAACCAGACTGAGAGGATAATCATGATCTGTAACAACATTTACATTTTTTATTAGATCTTGACTTCGAATCAAAGAAGGGAAATGTCGTTAAGGTACAGGTGTACACGCCCAAGCTATTTCCTTTGCCTTTTAGTTTCCAGTGGATATTGTAGCCTAAGTGACTGTTAATAAAGCCTTATCAGTTGGTCACACAAGGGTTTCCATCATCAGCTGGAACACATCAATTGCTGAACAATAGTCTCCTTATTTGAAGGTGTTTGCCTTTAACGGTTGGTAATTGCCAAAGCGTACGGCGCGTAACGTTCTGCGCGCGCCTTAATGAGGTAATAGAGCACCACAGACGGGGTCCTATAGGGCTGAAGTTCAGCTGAGGTTGCGGGGCAAGCGCAATGAGGCACCGCATCCTCGGCCTAGACCAGGAGAAGACACAGGGGGTTTTTAGTCAGTAAGAGTCTGACACTCTATCTCTCGACTTACCCGGGGCGGGAAAAGTCATTTGATGATTTTCCCCTGACAAAATAAAAAAAAAAGTTTGGTTATTTGCGAATTCCTAATCGCCCTCGATAGCCAGGAGATTTAGGTTCTGCTTTTTATATGCTAACTTTTGCACTCATATATCGAAAAACGCAGGTACAGGTTTAACGCAATCAAGGTTCGGCTGCAAGCTCAATAATGTACGGCGGCCTCGGACCGCGACCGAGTCAGAGAGTCTGTTCCGTTCGCCCTACTTAGTGGGTTGAGGGTAGTTTTCCCAACCCAATAAAAAAATGAGTAAAAAGTATTTCAAGCTTAAAAAATAAACTGACTTTTGACGCACGGTTGGCGCAGTGGCTGGGCAACTGTTCGATACCTGGACGGAATAACTCTTTATGTGATCCATAAATTGTTGTTCCGATTCTGGGTGCGAAATGTGTTTATGTGAAATTGAATGTTTGTAAACGTACCCACGATACAGGACACAAACGTGGTGAAGGGACTTTTCTTAAAAAAAATATCGGCTTTATCTATTTAGATTGAGATATTGTAATCTATAAATAAAATACTAATTTTGATTTCTTTGTTTACACAACGAGTTATATATTCGAAGATAAGAATAGAGATAAGTATATGTATTGGTAGATAAGTAGACGAAATTGATATTATATTAAGATCCGCCAGCCGACAGTAATTAATGACCATGATGTATGTAAAACATCGAATTATGTTTTAATCAATTTATATCACACAAATAACTGTACATCGCCGTAGGTCGTGGTGGCTGAGGACTTCGTTTCTCATACATGAGGGTGCGAGTTTAAATTATTTATTTTTATTTTATGTGACATGTCGGCTAATGAGCATGCGGATTACCTGAGAAGTCACGAGTGCATTGTCGACCTTTTGGGGAATAGATATTGGGGAGGGAAAAGATTGGGCCTCCGGTAAACACACTCACACGTCGAAAAACAACGCCGTGGTTGTTTCACGCCGGTTTTCTGTGAGGCATTGGTATCACTTTGATCGAGCCGACCCATTCGTGCCGAAAAATGACTCTGCCACATTTAAAACTGAGCTAATGCCCATATAAAGTTTTCTAAGTTAAAATAAAGACACACGACGAAAATATGGCGAGTAAACAAACATCTCGAGTAAACCTGGACTTACCTATATGTAATTTCAAATAATTATGCACTTATTATTCTTGATTTAAAGTTCGAAACTACCAATCCGCCTTAAGCAAGCAGAGATTAATATTTTGTTTTTAGTAACCTTCAATACACATAGCATAATTATAACGAAGTCGCTTTCTTTGTTACATGTTATGTATGCTTAAATCTTATGCCTAAACCACGCAACGGGTTTGGGTGCGTTTTTTAATATAAAAGAAATGTTTAGGATCAGCATTGTACCCGTGCAAAGCCAGCTATAACATTATAAAAAAGGTATTTTTTCTGTATGTTTTTCTTTACTGTCGTGGCATTGACCTGTCCACTAATTAATTTAGATCAGTTTGTAAAAACAAATTGTTAACACAAAAAAACTGATTCGCAACAAATCTTATAAAATAATTAGATAAATATATTAATTTTAAGTTTTAATTGAATTTAAATAATAATCGTATACAAGCCAGAATCATGACTGCACGGTTGCCGACTTATTGGAACTGTTAAGCCTCTCTTTGAGGATTGGCTAGAGAGACGCTATGGCGTTGTGCCATGCTTAGTCTAAGCACCGCCTTGTCCTCATGGAAGTGATCGGCGACGGCGACCTCTCGCGCCTGGCCATAGTCGAGAAATGGGAAGCCGTCTCCTCTTTCTAGGAAGCAGTGATGCTCGCAAACAGGGAGGCGGACTACATGAGGGAGCAATCCTCCTCCTCACGCAGCAGCCGCCGCAGCATGCGACACTCCGGGCGTCGGAGATCAAGAAACGATCTTCGGCCACCAAAAGCGCGGGTCTGCGCACGACGAGTAAGGGTAGCTCGTCGCCCAACCAGAACCAGATTCAAGCATACGGCGCGTAGCGTTCTGCGCGCGCCTCAAAGAGCCAAAGGAACATTACAGACGGGGCCCTATTATTGATGCCCAGCCGGGGTTGCGGGGTAAGCGTAATGCGGCACCACGACCTCGTCCCAGAGCAGGAGAAGGAACGGGGGGTTTTAGTCAGTAACAGTCTGACACTCCCTTACTCCCTACCCTGGGCGGGAGAAGTCATTTGATGATTTCCCAATAAAAAACGCCAGCGGAGTAGACAACACTTCAGACATCGGGATCGAGTGACGAACTCCGGTCACCATAAGCGCGGCTCTGCGGTCGGCGAGCAAGGGTAGCTCACGCCGAACCAGAACCAGAACCGAGTGTGCGGCGTGTAGCTTTCCGCGTGCAACTCAAAGAGCCAATGAAAAAGCTACAGATGCAAGCGCAATAACGTACAGCGCCCCGGCTTGGAGCTGGAGAACGAACGGTAGTCAGTAAAAATCTGACAGCCCCTATCGCGACACCCTCCAACTTATATGTGAAATTGTGTGTATGACTGCACGGTTGGTGCGGTGGTTGGGTGGTGGTTTCGGGTCTGGGTGTCTGTGTATGTGAAATTGAATGTTTGTAAACGCACCTACGACACAGGAGAAAATCCTTGTGTGGGGCAACATTTTTTTTATTAAAAAAAAATATTTTAAATCAATAATAAAAAATAATATGTAAATGGTGATATAAATGTCCAAAAATAAGATAAGTATCAAAACTTACTGAAATCAAACTAATCTCGAACTTGTTGCTTGTAGGAAGAGAAACTGTAACTGAGAGTGCTGTGTCTGGCCTGCAATTGTTTTTTATATAGCATTTATCAGCTAACCACGTGCGGTTGTTGTTGAAATTAAACGCTAAATTATGTCGAATCACCGTGAATGATAAAATTTAATTTATATTAGAGATAAATAATAAATATTTTTATTTTTTAAATATTTTATACATATACAAAAAAAACTAGCCAGCCGCGACTTTGTCCATGTGGTCAAAGAAAAACAAAACATAATACTCCGATCAATGCGGCATGGCATAACAACGACGGTGTTGTTCCATGACGAAGGTAACTGAGATTGAAGTGATCCTCGACTAGTTGGTCTCTTCAATCCATGCTTAGATAGAGGCCAGTGTCCGCTGTCGGGAAAGACCAGTAATCTGATTTTCATGGGCAAGCCGACGCGCCCTGCGAACTCTCTGTACGCGTGGTGCTCGACGAACTTGTTCAGGAAAATTGTCTTCTCAGGCGAGTTAGAAGCAAAGCTTCCAAGTTAGAATTGATTGAGGTTACTTTCAAGCGGGTTTTAAATTTAATTGAAAGCTCCACCCAGGGTAACTGATCGAATCAAAGAGGCACATAACAACGGCAATTTAATTAATATAAACAAAATCGATATGACTAAAAATCATCCCGTTCCTTCTCCTGCTCTAGGCCGCCGGCAGTGATGCCTTATTGCACTTGCCCCGCAACCCCAACTGAACATCAGCCCTAGTATGGCCCGGTCTGTGGTGGTCTATTGGCTCTTTGAGGTCTATTGGCTTTTTTATAGGTATGTTGCATAGGTATCCTTAGGATCGCTTACAGTACAAAAACGAACGTCCTTGTGGGGAATAGCTATGAATTTTTGCATAGTGACGGATTGAAGATAGGTGAGGGTACCAATATTGAGGGACTGGAGGAATACAAATTGGTACTTGAGTAAATCATGAATATACAATTATGTCACGAACTCAAGTAAGTTAGATTCAGGAAACTATTTAGTAGATTAAAATACAAAAAAAAAAACTTCATAAAACTGGTTAATATTTATTTTTGTAATGTAAGATACTGGTTTCTCATAAGAGCGAGGTATTAGCAATAGCTTTAGATCACCTTAAAAGCACACTTTACTGTTTTACGGGATTTAACGGGCCCGTTCCTTTTATTTGTTTTTTGCTTGACGTTTCGGCGTTCCTATTCTTTCTTTTCCATGATCCAGGTTTCTTTTGTACACAGAATGGCATGCATGGAGCACTATGTTACCGATTCTGTATTTTAATATATTACCAGTTCAAAAACCGATACAAAATAAAGAAATATTTTTATTTTTATAAAATTATCATAATTCAGTCCAATAAAATTCCATAAAATAAATGATTATTACTCGTTACAATAACAAAGACCGAGAGAACTTAAATAAAATGTTATTTTGGATTTGTTTGCCTTAGAGTCTATTTTACCTTGCTCTTAAAGCTAATATTAATTGAATAAAAGTCTCTGTCACCATTATATATATTTTACAAAGTTAGTTTACATAAACATTTCAATGGTACTAATGTTAGCCAGCACAAATAACTCTACCATCAATTCGAAAGCCAAAACCTAATCTCTACAGTTTTTTGATGTTCTACATCCTTATTTGCTCAGTCCTCGGCCTGAAGTTAAGCCAGTGTCCTCCTTTCAGCCTCATGTTGAATGTCTCGGGGCATAACTTCGCTGGTATGCAAGTCCTCTCACAAGGAGAAACTACCATTTCTCGGATGATCTGATACGTCATCACCTTTACTTCACAAAGCGCAAATCTGGATCCTGAGAAAGAAAATTTACTAAATTAATGTCACATTGTATTGTTTTACAGTCATTTTAAACCAAACAACCCATCTAGAACTAACTACATTAAGAATAAGCTTTCTATAGAGTACTCTTTATTTTTTTCTTACCAATGCAATTCCTAGGTCCAACACCGAAGGGCATGTACGCGAGTGGGTTAATGTTGTGCCTGTTCTCTTCTGAGAACCGCTCAGGGTCGAACTTTAAAGGGTTGGGGAAATACTGAGGATCACGATGAATGCTGAAAACCGGTATCCAGACACCAGTTCCTTTTCGGATCTGTAAACAAAAACAAGAAAAAAAGACTTATTAGATAGGAAAAAACAAAAATGAAATTTATATACTTACTAATAATCTGTAGAATTATAATCGTCTAAGCACTTTTATTTTGTTTACGAGTATATTTCTACAAGTACTACATTGTGTTTTTTTTGTGAAGAGAAAATCATCAAATGACTTCTCCCGCCCAGGGCCGGGCGTGAGGGAGTGTCAGACTCTTACTGACTAAAAACCCCCCTGTTCCTTCTCCTGCTCTGGGCCAAGGTCGCGGTGCCTCATTGCGCTTACCCCGCAACCCCGGCTGAACATCAGCCCTTTAGGGCCCCGTCTGTGGTGGTCTATTGGCTCTTTGAGGCGCGCGCGGACGCGCCGTCGCTCGTACAATGTGTCAGTTTACATTTACTTACAATGTAATCTTTCTCCGCTTTCGCATTCGGTTTACCCATATTGTAATCTTTAGTGCATATCCTGTCTAGAGCACCAGCAGCTGGCCAAAGACGGAGGACCTCTGAAACAATTTAGTACAAACTGATAATAAAATCATTTATTTTCAATACCTACTTACTACATATATGCATATTATACTAGGATGTCGGGTGACGAGGGAGTTGTTTAGAGGACTAGGTATTATTGTATAATTAATTGATTATTATGTCATATTCCAGTCAAAATAAACGTGATCGAAGTAGGTATATGTGTGTTCCTTTGACCCAAAAACTTTCTTATTGGAACGAGCAAATAGCTTCACTAAGATAACTGACCGACAGACTGACACTATATATTCAAAATTTTGTTTGACGTTCAAAAGTGCCTGTGAAGGTCTAATTGGAATAAATGATTTTTGACTTGACTTTTTTGACTTTTATTACACTTCAAAACAGTAAAATAAACTGTCACTACCAATATTTCCTGACTGGTACAACTATAAAACTTCAAAAAAGGAATATCCTGCTCTTCAGAAACTACAAGCCCTAAGACGTGCTTACGACTCTTCTAGTTATGCAAGTGCCTATTGGCGACACTAATTGCTTGTTAAGTCCACGAACAAATTTGCCCACTACCCCATTAAAAATAGCCACAGAAGTCGTTTTGATTAGTATTATTATCTATTTGATAGTGACTACAGTACCAGTAACTAACTTTTCAGACTCACCTGAGACAACCATATCCATGTACACCATATTCTGAATGGAGTTAAAGTCAAACTTGCCGCCGTTCTTGGCGTCATGTTCTTTGATCTCCTGCGCCAACCGCTCCTGAACGTCAGGATTCATGGCAAGCTCATGCAAAAGGAACGACGTCCCCGATGAGACGGCCTCAAATCCGGCAATGAAGAATAACACTGCTTGAGCGACGAGATCTTCATCGCTCCATACTGAAAACGTACAAATATTCAATACCCACATACCTATTCTCGCGTGGTTTCACCCGCTGCTCCATTTCATCGTAGATGTTGTAGATGTTTTATAGCCTATAGCACGCAGGAACATTGTAGCTATTTACCAGTGAAATAATTTTGGTATTCTGACCAGCGTGCAGCGGTTTTAAAGATTACCCCTACATACAAACTTAGAAACTTACAAATTTTACCTCTTTATAATATTACTATAGATACTTGAAAAGGTACTATGGACATTCTCATAGTAGTGTAAAAAAAAACATAACTTAAAACGAACAATATCTATCCAATAGCAGAACCGTTCTTCGTTTTTTTATTCATCTTTGATAATAATTTTGTAACATTCTGTACTTTGAAAGGTATTAGGATTTATTTTTTAAATTAAAGTTTAATATCAGTTTCTTTCTTTCTATAAATTAGACATTATGTTTGAAAACATGTACCGTGGAAACACTAATAACACCTTCATCACACATTCATCATGCACTCAACTTATTTACTAAATGAATACTAATATTACATTATCCATTATGATCGTTTGCTTAACTAATTAATACCGATACATACATATAGGTACATTATGTGTAAATTAACAGCAATTACATATTTTATCTTCTGGTCTAGCAGTTTCTTGCAGATTCTGAATGGCATTATATTAAGTACAATGTTATTATTTTTTTATGTACCTACTCGTGCCAATAAAATTGTATTAATGAAATTATACTATTTATAGCGCCTGGTTGTTTTCGTCTGGGTGACACACGATAATTTTGGTCTTAATTTAGTTTAATACATTCACAGATGTATAATTGTATACACACCTCTATTAACTTTTTTCTTCCCAACAGCCGATTCAGTAACAGTAGCAAAACCAGCAGCCAGATCATTGGATTTAATATCGTCATGAGTCAGTTTGCCTGAAATTAAAATTTCATTACTTATTTACTATGTATGATCTAGTTTATCAGTTTTATTAATTACTGTATCAAATTTTGAAACGATAAATATACCTTTTTTGGCTTCCATTAATAAGTGTATCATGTCGGGTCTGATTATATTCTTCATCTCTCGGTTTTCCATCGTATACAGCACCAGTCTCTTGAATGCGTTCTTCGATGATTTCGAGAGGAAATCCAGCTTTAAGAACTGGGGCATAAAAATAGTATTTGACTAATCAATCACAAATCAACGATATTATTATAATTTATTAGATCCTATTATTATACTTACTAAACTAAATATGTCTAATTATGATATTATCTATAAAACCTATTGGCATAGAAACAAATAGCAGATTGTCCAAATTATCGGAGCTATTACTAAACAATAGATCGGTGCTATACAAGACAATATTATCAGGTTTCTGTCGTCATAATAGATTATCAATTATTCGTGTTTTTTAGTAGGTACTACTATCACTTTGTTGAGGAGTGATCCTCTTATAATTGATATTTATGCTCATAATAATCTTCATTTAAATAAAATACACGTTAAGGCAAACGTAGTGCCGTCTAGCCGCCGCCCAGCTAGGTGGACTGACGATATCCGCAAGGTAGCTGACAGTGGTTGAAGGAAAAGAGCTGAACATCGAGTTCTGTAGCGTGCAAATAGGGAGGCCTGTGTCTAGCAGTGGACGAGATCAGGCTGATGATGATGATGATGATGAAATAAAATACACTTAAAGGAAACTATGATTACAACATGATTAAACGAAAATGTACCTTAGCTACTTCTGGTAAGTTTGCAAATAGGAAAGCCTTTATAATCTGGGAAAAGTCGAATGTAGAAGTCTCTTTCCCCAGTGTGTAGAAGCTGTTGTTTTTGTCATTGTGAGAGTCCACCTTCAGACCAAAGGCACAGGAAGCAATCACATCGTTTGTGTAGCGGGTAGTCAGGTCTTTGCAATCTAAGTCTACGGAGCCATCTGTACACATTTTAAATACATAAGTTTTTTACACCATCATGCGTTATCAATTTTATAATTTCAGCCATAGATTTAAACTTACTTTTAGATTCTTTTATAATTTTTTGCAGCGACCGCATCATCTGATCTCCTACTTCCACCATAAAAGGCACCATGAGTCGCATCTTGGAGCTCGTAAAAGCTGGGCTCAACGTGGACCGCATGTCCTTCCATTCTTGACCTGTAATTATTTGAAAAGTAATGGAAATGAGGGATTCCTATAAGCATTTTCCTCTTTAACTGACCTACCAATTGAAACGAAGTTTTCTTAAAGCTTAGACTTACTTTGAAAAATGTGATATAATTAAACATAGGTTAAACTCAAATTGAAAATGTATGTAATCTGAGACCAGCTAAATTAATTACCTCTTAAAGAAAATAAATTCCTGGAGAAGTAGGAATCGCTGTTGCCTAACAAAGGACGGTGGTCGAGGAAATGCTCGAAATCTTTAACAGTTATCTTCTTAACCAGCTCAAGGTCACGGACTACAATTAACTCCTTGATGAATTCATATCTTCCAACAAACCTGAAGAATGATAAATAAAAGATATTTTTATACACATTAATATATTTCATATATTTCAAATTTAGAGTACTTTAGGGAACAGAGAGTAAAGTTATCTAAGATCCGAAAAGTAGGATCTTCCACCCACACAAGGTGATCAGCCTGGCAGGCAACTACTCAAAAGTCATACGTTGGGATTTTTCTGTTGAGGGCACACTTCATCGCAGGCAAACTTCACATACCTTAAAACGGGGTAAATAGAATTTGAGGGGTGAATAGATACACAAAAGAGGTGACAGAAGTTGGCGAATTTTCCTAGTATCTATGCACCCCTCTTCTGCGACTGTAGGACCTGTGACGTCATCCGTGGACTCTTGTCATCAATCTTTAACGTGTGTTGTTACACTATTCTTTTAGGTAACGTAAAACACTGCCAAACAACAATACTACTGATATAGATGCTTAAACAGATTTTTTTTAATTATGTACGAATTTATGCTTACCGTAGCTTAAACTTAATAGAGTTAAAATATACTCATCAATATCTTACCTTTCTTCAGGGAAGTCGTTGTAAACCTTTTTGAGCGCATCAGCCATATGTTCTGCGCGTAATATTACTTTAGTCATGTTGCCAACCATTGGGGTCGGCTTTATGTGCTTGATGCCATGGCGGTCGAATGAGGAGTACACTCTTCGAAAGTACAGTGTTATCACGGCGACGAGGACCACCAGCCAGATCCACAGGATGATCATGATCTGTTATAATGTTAATAGCATTAAAAGACTAATGCGTGTGGGTGACGCTGAGACACGCACTTTGCTCATAACTAAAAGTCGCTGTGTGACTTTAAGCCATTAGAGTTTCCCAAAGCCGTACATTTCAAATTTCCAAAACAATTTATTATTATTTTTTCGTACACACGCTAGTAAATCCACTGATTTACTCCTTAAGAAAGTCTCTTCTTAAATGAATATAATAATGTGATTGGCCCATATTACCACGATCGAAAGGTTAAAAACATTGGATAACTTCATTTTTTAACAAATATTTTATTATTTTAACGTTACTGGTATCCTTACTTAGTTTGATAGACCGGTAGTTCCTTACTATGTGTCGTAAACATCAATTTGTAGTATGTGCCTTTGAGTCTTTTGTTCTGTAATAACTTGTATAAAATAATATAAGCTATTAACTCTTGTTTACATTTTTTATCTACAATTGTTTCATTGACCTTTATGTTAGCACTTGTTAGTTTGATAGTTTGTCGTTATGATGATGATGCTCATCGAGTATTTTTATAATGATTAATTGTTAATAGAATAATTATTAGTTACATCAAAAAAATTAAAAATCCTAAAAATCTTAAAGATGCATCTAAAATTGAAGTACATTCATAATAATTATTATACTTTATTAGCTTTGCCACATGGTTTCCATGGCCTTTGATCGCAAAAGATAGTGTAGCCCCCTCTTGTGAATGAATTTATCAAATCGGTGAAATAGTTTCGGAGCCCATTCAATGAAAACAAACAGTAATTCCTCTTATAATATTAGTATATGTATAGTAGATACATTTATACCATAAAGTATGATTAGTGTTGTAGTATGTTAAAAAAGGTATTTTTTCTGTATGTTTTTCTTTACTGTCGTGGCATTGACCTGTCCACTAATTAATTTAGATCAGTTTGTAAAAACAAATTGTTAACACAAAAAAACTGATTCGCAACAAATCTTATAAAATAATTAGATAAATATATTAATTTTAAGTTTTAATTGAATTTAAATAATAATCGTATACAAGCCAGAATCATGACTGCACGGTTGCCGACTTATTGGAACTGTTAAGCCTCTCTTTGAGGATTGGCTAGAGAGACGCTATGGCGTTGTGCCATGCTTAGTCTAAGCACCGCCTTGTCCTCATGGAAGTGATCGGCGACGGCGACCTCTCGCGCCTGGCCATAGTCGAGAAATGGGAAGCCGTCTCCTCTTTCTAGGAAGCAGTGATGCTCGCAAACAGGGAGGCGGACTACATGAGGGAGCAATCCTCCTCCTCACGCAGCAGCCGCCGCAGCATGCGACACTCCGGGCGTCGGAGATCAAGAAACGATCTTCGGCCACCAAAAGCGCGGGTCTGCGCACGACGAGTAAGGGTAGCTCGTCGCCCAACCAGAACCAGATTCAAGCATACGGCGCGTAGCGTTCTGCGCGCGCCTCAAAGAGCCAAAGGAACATTACAGACGGGGCCCTATTATTGATGCCCAGCCGGGGTTGCGGGGTAAGCGTAATGCGGCACCACGACCTCGTCCCAGAGCAGGAGAAGGAACGGGGGGGTTTTAGTCAGTAACAGTCTGACACTCCCTTACTCCCTACCCTGGGCGGGAGAAGTCATTTGATGATTTCCCAATAAAAAACGCCAGCGGAGTAGACAACACTTCAGACATCGGGGATCGAGTGACGAACTCCGGTCACCATAAGCGCGGCTCTGCGGTCGGCGAGCAAGGGTAGCTCACCGCCGAACCAGAACCAGAACCGAGTGTGCGGCGTGTAGCTTTCCGCGTGCAACTCAAAGAGCCAATGAAAAAGCTACAGATGCAAGCGCAATAACGTACAGCGCCCCGGCTTGGAGCTGGAGAACGAACGGTAGTCAGTAAAAATCTGACAGCCCCTATCGCGACACCCTCCAACTTATATGTGAAATTGTGTGTATGACTGCACGGTTGGTGCGGTGGTTGGGTGGTGGTTTCGGGTCTGGGTGTCTTGTGTATGTGAAATTGAATGTTTGTAAACGCACCTACGACACAGGAGAAAATCCTTGTGTGGGGCAACATTTTTTTTATTAAAAAAAAATATTTTAAATCAATAAATAAAAAATAAATATGTAAATGGTGATATAAATGTCCAAAAATAAGATAAGTATCAAAACTTACTGAAATCAAACTAATCTCGAACTTGTTGCTTGTAGGAAGAGAAACTGTAACTGAGAGTGCTGTGTCTGGCCTGCAATTGTTTTTATATAGCATTTATCAGCTAACCACGTGCGGTTTGTTGTTGAAATTAAACGCTAAATTATGTCGAATCACCGTGAATGATAAAATTTAATTTATATTAGAGATAAATAATAAATATTTTTATTTTTTTAAATATTTTATACATATACAAAAAAAACTAGCCAGCCGCGACTTTGTCCATGTGGTCAAAGAAAAAAACAAAACATAATACTCCGATCAATGCGGCATGGCATAACAACGACGGTGTTGTTCCATGACGAAGGTAACTGAGATTGAAGTGATCCTCGACTAGTTGGTCTCTTCAATCCATGCTTAGATAGAGGCCAGTGTCCGCTGTCGGGAAAGACCAGTAATCTGATTTTCATGGGCAAGCCGACGCGCCCTGCGAACTCTCTGTACGCGTGGTGCTCGACGAACTTGTTCAGGAAAATTGTCTTCTCAGGCGAGTTAGAAGCCAAAGCTTCCAAGTTAGAATTGATTGAGGTTACTTTCAAGCGGGTTTTAAATTTAATTGAAAGCTCCACCCAGGGTAACTGATCGAATCAAAGAGGCACATAACAACGGCAATTTAATTAATATAAACAAAATCGATATGACTAAAAATCATCCCGTTCCTTCTCCTGCTCTAGGCCGCCGGCAGTGATGCCTTATTGCACTTGCCCCGCAACCCCAACTGAACATCAGCCCTAGTATGGCCCGGTCTGTGGTGGTCTATTGGCTCTTTGAGGTCTATTGGCTTTTTTATAGGTATGTTGCATAGGTATCCTTAGGATCGCCTTACAGTACAAAAACCGAACGTCCATTGTGGGGAATAGCTATGAATTTTTGCATAGTGACGGATTGAAGATAGGTGAGGGTACCAATATTGAGGGACTGGAGGAATACAAATTGGTACTTGAGCTAAATCATGAATATACAATTATGTCACGAACTCAAGTAAGTTAGATTCAGGAAACTATTTAGTAGATTAAAATACAAAAAAAAAAAACTTCATAAAACTGGTTAATATTTATTTTTGTAATGTAAGATACTGGTTTCTCATAAGAGCGAGGTATTAGCAATAGCTTTAGATCACCTTAAAAGCCACACTTTACTGTTTTACGGGATTTAACGGGCCCGTTCCTTTTATTTGTTTTTTGCTTGACGTTTCGGCAAAGTTACAGTTACCATTGTTACAAGCAGATTCAAAGTCGTTAAATCCCGTAAAACGACAAAACGAACAACGTAAGTTTAAAGTATTATACTTTGCGTGCGTTCGTGCAGCGGAATGTTGTTGAATTTAAAGATTTTGGATAGATGGCACGGCCGCTTTTTTGTAGCCATCCGAACTTGGTCGGGTTATGTAGGTTTTCGATGCTTCGTCAGTATTATAATTGTTTTTCTTTAATTACTGAATTTAATGACATGAAATTTTGCGTGTGAATTGTTAAATGAATACACTAATTATTGGCATACATTTTACCATGCAATTCATTTAGAACGTCGTGATATTTGACTGCTTTGTAAACAGTGATCTATTCATGGTAAATTTGTCCTATAACTATTTAATTACTAACGGAACATCATTGATACTTGGCAACATGTTGCAGACACTTACAAGGTTTGTATAAACGTGAAAATCTAGACCCTAAAGTGCATACTTTAAGAACTAAGACCTAATAAGCGTATTTTACGTTTATATTTTTATCTTTTAAACCCTACGATTTTTTCTAAATCTGTTTTTTAAACAAATATACACAAATTCAAAACAACGTATGTAAAAATCTACAGCTCTCTATGTAAGCGCTTTATATGAAAACTAGCTAATGGCCAAACGTTCGCGTAGCGGAAACTTGAATTTCTCCGAAGTTTATGCATGCACTAGTTTTATTCATACATACACAATTACACACAAATACACACTAATTTTTGGATACATCTCTTTTCTTCTAAAGTCTATGGATTAAAAAAAGTTCCGCCAGGACAACGTTCGCCCAGCGGAATCAGTTTTTGGTGAATTTCTCCACAATGGTTGCGTGCACAATTTTTTTTTTACCATACACAGTTATACGACGTCATACACTAAATATCTGCATAATTAAAATCTTTAAATTCAACAACATTCCGCTGCACGAACGCACGCTTATAGTTTAATAGTGACGGTAATAAAAATAATTGAACGTATGAGATTTCAGAGGACAAAAATAATATAAAAAGGTTTGGTGTACCCAATTTTTTTAATGACTATATTCGTCGAATTAGTTCCAACCAATCTTACAAAACTTTCAGTCGATATTAAGAGTTGTATTACTATACATAACTACTTCAATGGATTTTGTAAAACCTACACCTAACCAACAGTAAACAGTGTTTACTGTGATTGAATTGAATTGAGCTAGACAAAAGGTCTGCAAGGAGGTAATACTTATATTGTAAAATAGGTACATATATACAGTATATCTGTGAATGAATTAATTTTTATTTTTTTATCCTTGCCAGATTACAACCATTTAATCTGGACACGAAAGCGCTTTGCATAATCCTTTCCCTCCCTCAATCCCTCCTCAATCCCCAAAATCTCCAAATCCCTTATCCCTAAAAGGTCGACAACGAACTCGTAACTCCTCCGTTGCGGGTGTCCATGGGCGGCCTTGATTGCTTACCATCAGGTAATCCGTGTGATCGTCTGCCGACCTATCACATAAAAAAAAAAATCTTTAGTTTGCTCGTTGAGAAACGTTGTCAGCTTAAGATTGCTGCCACACCAGATTAGTGCGTAGTTGGATGAACGTCGTCGATATCATGGCAAAGTGAAAACAACAACCGTCTCAAATGAGGACCAGGGTCGCTGTTATAGCAACGGTACAACTCTTTGTTGTAGTGCGTACAACCGGCCACCGGTCAGCGGAAGCTTCAAGAGGTATCTGTTTAGGATCCAAAAAGTAAAGGCTTCGTGTCATAACTGTGAGGAACACTTAATCCAATTGTTTTTTTTTTTGTTTTGTTTTTTTTTTTTAATAAAACTTTATCCTACACTTGGATTTTCTTCTGTGTCGTGGATGCGTACACCCAGACCCGGAACAACATTTTGTAGATTATACAAAGAGTTGTTCCATGCGGAAATCAAAGCCGCGACACGTTGTGCGGCAGCCACTTACCCACCCACCACCTTGCAGTCGTGGCACCGCAACCAGTTATAAAATAAGATGCAATAGGCGACCAACAAACCTATTAAACTTTCCTAGCAACTAAACTACAACAGTAATTACTTTTTATAAAAACAAAGTCGCAGCCCTCTGTCTGTCCCTATAAATGCATTTTTAAACTACATGACAGGTTTTGATGTGATTGTTTAGTGGAAAAAATATTCCAGAGGAAACTTTTGGTATATATATTTTTCAGGTCTAGGAACGACGACGCGGGCATAAAGCTAGTACTATTTAAAGTTAATATTAATTTCTAAAGGATAGGTACAATAATATTATTTTTTCTTTGTATCAAGATAACAGTGGTTGAGATCTAGTTACTAAAAACAAATGTTGTATTATTTTAATGCCAATGATCATCGTGATTTTGCAAATTATTAAACTACAAGACATTATACGTCTTATGATATTATTATCAGAAGTAAGACGCAATAACGTGTCGCATATACATAATTATCTTTAAAAATCACCTCTGATACGGGACAGCTATGCATCAGCTTACCGGATGTAAGAATACGGCATTTATAATCCTGGCATAAAATATTATTTTATGCTTCACCTCTCAAATAAACAACAAAGACACATTTAATATTAAACTTACTACAGTAACACGTATGTAGTATTTACTTATATATTTTTTTTTATAATCATTTTTTTTATATGATTTCTTTCAGTATACCAAAAACCAAAAACTGTATCAGTGTATTGTATAAAACAAAGTTGCTTCTGTCCCTTCGTTTTTTTCTGGAATAGAAGGCAAACGAGCAGACGGATCACCTGATGGTAAGCGATGGGCGCCACCCATGGACACCTGCGTATGCTCAAATCTTTGAAACTACGCAACCGATTTTGATGCGGTTTTTTTATTAGATAGAGTGATTGAAGAGGAAGTTTTATATATATAACCGCATCCATTACATAGTGGAGAAATCCAGTGTCAGCATTGAACCCATGTGAAGCTGGAGCAGGTCGTTAGTCTATACTTCTATAGGTACTAATATTATAAAGAGGTAAAGTTTTTAAGTTTGTATGTAGGTAATCTTTGGAACTGCTGGTCGGATTGCCAAAATTCTTTCACTGATAGATAGCTACAATGTTACTGAGTGCTATAGGCTATAAAACATAAGCAGCGGGTGAAACCGCGCGAGAATAGCTAGAATCTAATAAATTGAAAGTGACACACAAAAATTTGGACTGCATGCACAGTTGGTGCAGAGTGGCTTTTGTGCAATGTGTCGTAGTCGGCTCGACCGGAATGTTACCACGGCCTCAAACAACCACAGCGTTGAGTTTCACCGTGTGAGTGAGGTTACTGGAAGCCTTATCTTTCTCCCTCCCCCTACCTATATTCCAATAATAATTAGGTTCATAATAAATAGGTTCTAATATCTAAGGACAATCTAACTAACACTAATATTTACCAAAAAAAAAATTAATATCCTCAAATTCAGTGCACTTTGATAGTTTGGAGTTGACCAGTCCTAGTTGTTTGTGAGATCTGAGACTGGGTTTTTAGTGGGTATACCGGGAACGTCTTTGCCGGGGAGTCCCACATAACCCTCTCCCGTCTCCCAATGGGAAGGGTATGCGTAATGGCATTTTCCCAGTGCCATAAATAAAATTGGTGAGTTTTATATTTAAGTAAAGTTTTATCTTTGTAAACGAACCTACGACACAAAAGTATTGCTAGAATGTGAACAAGTCTGACAATGGTTGTAAGCGGTTCTATATGAGTTCAAACTAAACGTAGTAGTAAATACTATATACATGGAGATCTTCATATCAGCTGCTAGAGTTGATGGAACACGGACATCCAGATTGGTCGGTTGGGAGCGACCCAAAAAC